TTCTGAAATAGCCTATTTAAAGGAATTTGATCTTGTAATGGTAGCTAATTTGGGGAGTTTATGAGGATTTGATAAGTCATTTATATTAATAAAATAAGCATAGAACCTTATGTAAACCGGCAAGTAAACAGTGTCTAAAAGCAAGATATCACGCCTTGCGGAGCTTTTCTTAGACCAATTTATAAACGAAACTAACCATAAGGAATCAAACATCTCTCTACAGTTTCGCGGACCCAGATTAACTTGATTACGCAGATATATATGTATATATGCAGAATCAGGTTGATATTGGGCCAGGAAACTGTTGAGGGATGTTTGATTTCTCATGGTTAGTTTCGTTTATACATGGGTATAATAAAAGCTCCACAAGACTTGATATATATATATATAATTAAGCTTATCCGACAAAGAACAGTATATCACCTCATAAACTAGGTGGATCATGAGTAAAATCCTACTTATAGATTTAATGAAATACCTGTCCAATGAGGGAAGTCGTGAGCCAGACTCGACGCACCATAGTTGAATCCACCTACAAGGATCATCAGGATGAAATTTTTCGGGCCCGTTGACGAGGAAGGAATAAGAGGTTTCATAAGCTAATCGGTCGTCTCCGAGACCCATGAAAATGGAAGAGTCGAGGGAGGAAACTGAGGAGGAATAAGATGAAGAGTGAGTATGGCACGGAGAAGACGATAGGAGGGAGGGCGAAAAGGAAAAGCTGGAGGAGACGCAGGTGGATGAGCTTAGGGCTTTTGGATGCGCAATGATTGCCTCTGGTGAAAAGGAACGGGAAGCTGATATTTCTGCCATATGTTGATCCGTGTTCCGACCATGTTGTTGTTTTGGTACTTCCAAAGTCGAATTTCGCAAATTCACTCCTGTAGCGCTTATGGTAGCATGAACTTGGCTCGAAAAAGGAAGAGCGACAAGCACTTTATCCTTTGCACCAGGCTCTAGAGTATGCTGTGGGTCTGAATGGCCCTCGCAGGGGACTAAGGATCTAGCCGAGGCAGTAGTGGAATGGTAAGCAACATCTGTTTGGCCGGCTGATTGAGCATTAGAGTATGGCAAGAGAGACGGTTTACTTGAAATCTGATCGAGAGACCAGTCGAAATAAGATTCAGATGTTATTGCAGGTGCTGCAGCGATAAGTCCGGTTAGAGGTCGAAGAGAGTGGCTGGTAGATGCGGTGAAGGTAGATGTAGATGGCGATTTACAGGAACGAGTGGGAGGAAGGCTCCCACAGGCCAATACCCATTCAAGAATGTGAGGAGGATCGCGGTCTAATCCAAAAAAAAGAATAAGACCCAAGCATAAACAATGTGAATATAAACAAGCTTACAAAGAAGTAGAAAAAAACAGACTGCTATATTGATGTAGTAGGCTAAGGGTTGTGACAAAATAATAAAAAAATATGGGTTGATAATTTTTCATTTTATAAGTAAGGTGTGAAATCTCTTTTGAGCTGCAAATGTTTATGGGCGGAAAGGGGGATATAAAGG